AGACACCACAGTGGACTTCTTCCATGGCTACTTCGGCCTCGTCCCGGTGTAGGCATCGGAGGAGAGTGCCATTGTAGGATCTCTTGTAGAGTGTTCCATTCTCAATGGTGTAACTTGGGGCCCTGATTTTGGCTAGTTTGGCCCTCTCCTCGTCCTGGGGTAGTTATCCCGAAGTGATGAAGGTCATGATGTCGGATATCCATTCTTCTAGGCGTTGTTGAATGCACATGACCAGGCTGGCATGGATGCTGGACATGCTTAACTCCTCGACTTTGGCTATCTTGGAGATGTGCTCCGGAGTGTCCGTGCTGAGCTTGGAGAGAATGCCGGCCTCGACATTCTCCATCCTTGGGATCTGTGTGATCTCATGGGTTTCAAATGCCTTGAGCAACTCCTCAGCCGCCTGTTTGTACTGCCTCATCCTGCCTTCTTTGGCCTCGTATGAGCCCTCGATATTGCCCACCACTAGCTTGGAGTCGCACTTGATTCTGACATGTCGCGTTTTGAGGCCGTCGGTGAATCTTAGGCCGCTGAGGAGAGCCTCATACCTGGCTTCATTGTTGGACACCCTGAAGTTGAAGCGGATGACATAGTAAGCTCTGAATCCTTCAGGGGAGATGAGGATGCCGCTGCCTCCACATGCTTTGGCGGCTGATGAACCATCAGTGAATAGGGTCCATGCTTCGTCTGGCTCTGCCCCGGGTATGACGGCGGCCGTCTCCCTTGCCGTACACTCGGTGACGAAGTCGGCCAAGGCTTTCCCCTTCATAGATGGCCTTAGCTTGATTTCGATTTGGAACTGGCTAAGGAAGATTGCCCATTTCACCATCCTTGAGGAACTGGTTTGGCTCCGCATAAGTGCGCCGAGGGGCTGCTGAGTCAGGACATGGACGACATGGGCCTGGAAGTAGTGCCCTAGCTTCTTTACCGTGTGGACGATGGCCAACACCGTGTTCTCAATGGGGGAGTACCTGAGCTCGGCCTCTCGGAGCGTCTTGCTCACGTAGAAAACTGCCTTTTGCACCCCTTCATCCTCGCGGATGAGCACGGAGCTGATGGCCGACGTGCTCACCCCCAAGTATAAGAAAAGTGTCTCGCCGGGCTTGGGCTTAGAGAGCACAGGAGGGGACGAAAGGTACTGCTTCAGCTCCTCAAATGCTTGCTGGCACTCTGTCGTTCATTTGAAGTTGTTTGCTTTGCGCATGATTTGAAAGAAAGGGAGAGACCTTTCAGCCGATTTGGAGAGGAAACGGTTAAGGGCCGCAAGTCATCTCGTCAACCGTTGTACTTCCTTGACATTACGTGGTGGCTCCATGTTCACGATGGCCTGGATTTTCTCCGGATTTATCTCAATGCCCCTACGGCTAATCATGTAGCCAAGGAATTTGCCCCCTTGGACGTCGAAGGTGCATTTTTTGGGGTTCAGGCGGAGCCTGAACTTCTGCATGATCTCAAAAATTTCCTGGAGGTCATCGGCATGGGTGGTAGCATGTTTGCTCTTGACGATCATGTCGTCGGCGTATGCCTCCATTTTTCAGCCGAGGATTGCTTTGAAGATTTTGGCTACCATCCTGGTGTATGTGGCGCCTGAATTTTTGAGCCCAAAGGCCATGACGAGGTAGCAAAAAATTCCCTCTGGGGTCATGAAGGCCGTCTTCTTGGCGTCATCTTCATGCATGAAGATCTGGTGGTACCCTCTGAAGGCATCCAAGAATGACATCAACTCGCAGCTCGTCGTCTAGTCCACCAACTGATCAATGTTGGGGAGAGGGAACGGGTCCACGGGGCACGCCTTGTTCAGATCAGTGTAGTCAACGCACATTTTGAATGTCGGCGGCTTCTGGGCGAGGACAACGTTGGCTAGCCATGTTGGGTACTTCACCTTTTAGATGTGGCTGATGGAGAGGAGCATGGTGATCTCCTCCTTGACGAAGTCCCGTCTCTCGACCGAGAGGTATCGCTGCTTCTGCTTGACTGGCGTGGAGGCTGGATCGACTGACAGCCATTGAGTGATCACCTTCCGACTGATGCCTGGCATGTCATCCGGCCCCCATGCAAAAATGATTGCATATGACCGCAGGACCAGGAGGATGCCGTCGCGTTGGTCCTGTGGGAGCTGCTTCCCAATTTTCAAGACTCGCTCCAGCCAGGAGGCATACAAAGGGACCTCTTCGATGTCCTCGATCGGCTCAGCATATGGCCTCTCTTCATCCTTGGCGACGGTCGTGGTGATGGTGTCTATTCTTTGCTCGGCGCTGGCGGCTGGCTTCGTCAGCTTGAGATAACACGCCCTTGCTATCTTCTGACCCCCCTTGGCATAGCTGATGCTGCTATTAGTAGGGAACTTCAAGCATAAATGCTTCATGGAGATGATGGCCTCCAGGTCATCTAATGCTGGCCGCCCCCAAATCAGGTTATGGGCGCACTTGAGGTTGACCACCATGAACTCCATGCCAATTTTGGTGTGATGGCAGTCGTCGCTGACTTCCACAGGAAGGACTATCGTTCCCTCGGCGTCGATAGAGTCCCTGGTAAAGCCGGACAACGGTGTCCGGATCGGCTTGAGCAGTGCCTTATCCAACTTCAGTTGCCTGAACGTGTCAAGGTACATGACATTGACAGAGCTCCTCGTGTCAATGTAAGTGCGGTGGATGATAGAGTCACCTATCTCACACCGTATGACGAGGGCGTCCCTGTGTGATGCGGGCCCTGGAGGCAGATCCTTGTCGATGAAGGTGATCGCCTCCGTTCGTTGCTTCTTCGATTGAGGGGGAGCGTGGGACACCTCGCCAATATACAAGGATTGGGTCCATTTCTTTCTCTGGGTGGTGGAGTCCCCCCAGTGTTACCTCCCACGATGAGGTGGATGTGATTCTTCTTCGGATGGAGCTCATCGAAGTCCACTTCATCATCGCTGAGTCTACCGATGTGTTGTGGGAGGTGTTCTTGTGATATCGGTAATAGGTGCCACCCTGATGGATGGCATAGATTTCCTTTGCCGAGCGAGGATCCTTCTCAATGAGATCATGCTCTTCGGCATAGTCGAGGATGGAGTTGGCGAGTGTGTGAGGAGGGTCCTCGGCCTTTCCATCCTCGGACGCCATGGGCGCTCCTTCTTGTTATGTTCGCTAGACCCTTAGTGGTTCTGTCCTCCCTGTCCTCGGTCTCCGGCCAGTCGAGCTCGAGCTGGGCGATATCCTCGTCCCGGGGGTCCTTGGCGGCCATGGTGGCGCCTTGTGCCTACACGCGGGCTGCGTGAGCCGTGTTGATTTGCTTTCCCTTGTCTTTGTCCAGGCGGGGCCGATCCGCTGTCCGGGATACGAACCCAAAGCTTTCCCTTGGTGAGCAGGCTCGCGTTCACCAATCCGTCCCGCCATCTTCTCCGATACTGGCCGATGTCGCGTGTCACCTAACCTATTGAAGGTCGAGGCTTTTCCACGCGCTGGGGTTGGTCCAGCTCGAAGAAGGGAAGCAAGATGGGAATGGGATGATGACGTGCCCTGGGCCTCCACCCCCTCGTCGTTGCCTATTTTCGTGACTAACGATTGGGGCGGTGGAGGTGGTGGAGTGGTGTTCTCCCCCGTCCTAGGCATGAGTTCACTGAGGACGGTGGGATTCTGAGCCAGGCTGGCTATGATGGCCGATACAGCGGCCTGGAGCTGAGGGTCAACAACGGGAGTAGTTTGTTGCCCCGATGCATGGTCTCCCTTTTCCACGCGCTTCTTCTCAAGGCCGATACGGGCGTCTTGAGCGTTGCCGTTGAGCTGATTGCGGAGATCAGCTGCGAGGTCGATTGTCTCTTAGAAGATTTCCGCTGCCTTCTCGGCCGTAGCGTCTCCAGAGCACTCACAACCCTCCTGAGCCTCGGGGATTGTGTTGCCGATGAGGTTGCGGTTTGACCTTGCTCTTCCCATCTTCAGTTAGCTTGTGCTTGGTAGCGACGAAGGATGCTAACTTGATTGTTCTAGCTTTCAATGAAAACATCAAATGATAGAGTATATGTTCTAGAGAGAAGTGAGAGCTAGAGAGAGAAGTGCAATTAATACTGCAAAAAATGAATTTTGTGAACCCTTATAACTACTCCCAAGGGGAGTATTTATAGAGTAAATGTGGCCTGGGCTCCCAAATCTTGGGCTTGGGAGGCCATTTACAATGGGGCCACTACTGGGCCGAGTACAAAGTATGCAGAAATGGCTAAGTATAAAATTCGGCTCTGTGAGCTCTCTGTGGCCGACGGAGGTCTAGCCGACGGAGCCATGGCCGATGGAGACACCCGGTTCTCCTAACTTCTGGATCATGTTCTGAGTTGACATCTTTCTGACCGATGGAGGGCCATTTGGCCGACGGAGGACCCGCTGGGTGCCAGCTGTGCTTCTTATTCTTCTGAGTATGTGGGTCATGGGGTCTGGACCCATATACTCCATGAGATCCATCTCATCCGAAATCGTCTCCACCTTTACATGGACTTGACGAACCCTCATCTCCAAAGCCAGATCCGCAAGTTTCATCCCTTATTTCAGAATCTCAAAGGCCATTTCCTCTCAAATTTTGTGTTGTGCGGTTCGGAAGTCAGGATTCGTCTGAATCTGATCCCGACAGGTGGATCCAGAAAAATATGGTTCAAATCTTGTTTCTGATACCTACGATGGATTACAAGGTTTCAAGGATTCCGAAGGAGAAGAGGTCAATTCGGGAGTGGTGATGGATGGACTGTCGGACAAGGAAGAGGAAGGCAGCGTGGGGCTGCATGCAGAGGATGACAATGACGACGAGGAAGAAGAGGAAGGCAAGAAGGGGTTAGATTTAGATGACAAGAATGAAGGAAAAGGGTAGTACTCATCTTAAACCCTTTTTCATTTTATTGCACTGATTTTGTGTGATGTATGTGTTGCATATGTGTTGCCCGTATATGAGATGATTCCCCTCACTGTTGTACTGATTTCTGCGCATACCTTGTTGTTGAGATGATTCCCCTCCTTGTTGTATTTCTGTGGCTGCAGGTAAAATGAGAAGAAGAGTACCTTCAGTTGGAGGTGGCAGGTTGATTGTATGGCCGAAATACATGTAGGGTGTTCTAAAGTGGGATTAGCCTTGTAATGATTTCTTTTTTGGAATAGATGTGTTTTACCCCCTTCCACTATTCATTCCCCCTTTTTCTTCCTTTGTATCGCCGTGTATCTCATTAAGGACAAAAGTGAAAAGTCAACAAATCATTTTCTTTTTCCTTAAATCAAAAGAAGTCAAATGTGGAACTTGTTCAAGAATACGAGGGAGTAATAGGTTTGACCATTCGAGTGGCCTGATACTTTCACATTAGATTACTTATTTTGTCCGGCCCAATCGTCCGATGGCCTAACGAACCGCTACTGCCGACGCGGCGACGCTTGTCGGTTGCCGTCTGGACGCCTGCTGCTTGCTGGATTTCTTCAATTTCTTATTCCTCAATCCTTAGGCCCCATCCTTCTGGTGCTGCGTGGTGCAGAGTCGCCTACTAGCCTTCAGCCCTTCACGGCTTCACTGCCTGTCTGCGGCTGCCTCAGGCCTCACCAATCAAACCAATCAGAGAAAGCCTTCATGCTCTTGACTCTTCAGGTGAGTCCGGCCTCCCCCCCGTAGTTTTTATTAATTAATTGATTTCTTGGTTGTCGAGTATTCATGGAGAAGCGGAAGCATGGAGATTACTAATCAAGTAAAATAGTTGAGTCTGGGAAACTTCAGAAGCGGAATCAAACGCGACTACACAGGACGGAGAATACGAAGAGGTAAATATTTATGTGAAGTTATTTTATTCAGTGAATCATGTATGTTCGAATTTCGCTATGTTCATATGTTTTTTGTGGAGGGTTCCGTGTGATTTGCTCCGATGTATGTCGAGAGGACAATTAAAATTAGTGGAACTCCAAGTGCGGGAAAATAGTAACTTAGCGAACATGATTAGTATTTTGTGATTGTGTATGCGTGATATAGTAACTTGGCGAATGGGAAATTATTTTTAGTGTGAATGATAACATAGGATCGTAGTAAGTGAAATGAAGTAATTTATCTAGTGGACTGGTAACTGATGCAGGGAGTATGTAGCATCGGAGTAACCAGTATTTGAAGGATAGCGAAATATTAGCTTAGCTATAGGGTATATGTTGTACTATAATCAAGGTATGATGATTAGCAAATATGTTATGTGAAGTAATGTGATGTGGTAATTGTCATCATGTAACTTATGTGTTTGGAACCTAACTGAAGGAGATGAACAGAGAGTGAGATGCAAAGTGTAGTTTGACAGGAACTTATTTGTGAATGTGCGATAGTGACAGCCACACCCAGATGTACCAAACTCCAAGATGTGTAATTTGGATAATAACATAGGATTGTAGTAAGTGAAGTGAATTAACCTAAGTTGTGGTTTAGTAAGTGATAGGGAACTAGTAACTAAACCATAGGGTATATGTCATATAGTAACTAAGGTGCCTGGTACATGAAGGATAGGGAACTAGTAACTTAGCCATAGGGTATATGTCATATAGTAACTAAGGTAGCCATTGGAGGTTTTCTTTCTCTGGCTGTCCTCGTCGATTGATTGGATGGTAGAAACGAAGGAGAAAACATCAAACATTTGGACGAAAGATTAGCTCGGGAACAAATTAGGCGAGAGCTTTGCTTTGCTAGGTAGTCTTGAGGACATATTTTTAGTAGATAAGTTTCTAATGATAGTTTCGTGCATCTGAAGGGGAGGTCAAATCAGGAATAAACTGTTTACTTAATTTAATTATTTAAATATGTTTAGTACTCCCTCCGTCCCATAAAATAGTTTCCACTTTGATTTGCATCGTAGTTTAAGAAAGTGGGAATAAAGTGGAAATATATGGTCATCTGGTGAATTACGTTTTATTTAAGGGAAAAGGGTCAAATAGTCCCTCGAACTTACATAAAAAGGTCAAATAAGCCCTTATATATGAGGCTCTGTCCTATCATCGCCATTTGGGGCAGTTTCCTGTGAAATTTTTTGATGAAATTTTTGAGCATTTTATTCATTAAGTCTAGTTTACTCATACCAAATTCCAGCTAAAACTTCAATCAGGAAGGCATTCAAATGAATTCTTGAAGATAACTGCGCAGTTAAAAGCGCAGTTATCTTCGAGGGATTCATTTGAATGCTTTCCCGATTGAAGTTTTAGCTGAAATTTGGTATGAGTAAACTAGACTTAATGAATAAGATGCTAAAAAAATTTCATCAAAAAATTACACCGGGAATCGCTCTAAATGGCGACGGCCGGACATAGCCTCCAATATAAGGGCTTATTTGACCTTTTTATGTAAGTTCGATGGCCTATCTGACCCTTTTCCCTTTATTTAATATCTAACTTTATGGACCAAAATCTGGTGATATTCATATTCATGTATGTATATATATCAAGTGTAATCTCTAAGCTTGTCCATTGTAATTACTAAACTAAGATATTGTTATCAGAGCAAAGTACATGGTACAATAATGTTTTATAGGAGCATATGTATTAATTAACTTTTTAAAGATCATTTAACATCTTTTTTTAATGATCATGCCTTCGATTTTAATAGTTGTATGTACTATGTAATGCGCATCATAATAGTGTCAAATCATGATTTTGTATATAATGGTTGGTAATTGGGATATTTTGATCTTTTTTGTATGTTGTATGCTAATATGTTGTATATCATCTAGTGTAATGATAAACAATTATTGTATATTCACTATATTGTTTATTCATAATCGTGTTGAAGCAAGTGTTGTAGATTGTTGTATTATTCAAGATCTAATATGAATTTTGACTTAAATATCTTGTATTAACTTGGTATATTTTGATGGTGTTATCGATTTATGTTAATTAATAGGTGTTTGTGTGTGTGTGTTATTCGGGGCTCAACATATAAGATGGTTGAATATGCAATATATTGTTGAGGTACTTGTGCTATATTAATGATGAAATCTGAAAAATAACATCAATTTGACCCATGCTTCTTGTAATTACTCGTTTGTATGGATGTTATTATTCATTATTGTCAAATAATAGGTATTTGTGTGGCAGCCGTGCAGCAGTAATGTTGATCTATGGACATAGCGTGTATTCCCTATCGTCAAGCAGCCGCCGTAGACTCGGAGCTGCAATGCAATATGCGGCGGCAGCCTCCTCAATTTCAAGCCTCAAAGTAGTCCCCTGGCGAAAGGATCAAAAGCTAGACGAAGCAATCGAGAAGGACAAGAAATGGAGGCTGTGCGCAAGGGTGGTGAGAGAGGTGATGAACGAACCCAGTCAGGCAATTCCTCTCCGATACTTGCAGAAACGGCGGGAGAGGCTCTCTCTCCGTGTTAACGTCACAACTTTCCTTTCACAAAACCCAGGGTTGTTCGACATGTATAAGGATCGGATCCGACCTAAGTCCGAACCCGTCCCATTCCTACGGGCAAGTACGGGTCTGAGGCGATTCCTGGAAGAAGAGAAGAGGATTTACATCCAAAACGAGAGCTTTTTAGTTTGTAAGCTATGTAAGTTGCTGATGATGGCTAGGAATAGAGTGATTAGCGCAGGTAAATTGTTGGAGGCCAAGAGGGAATTTGGGTTCCCAAATGATTTTTTAGTGAATCTGGTTCCCAGATACCCGGAATATTTCAGGTTGTTAGCGGGTAGTGAGGGGAAAGCGTTCTTGGAATTGGTGACTTGGAATGAGGATTTTGCAAAATCAGTGATCGAACAGAGAGCGGAGGAAGAGTCAAGGTTAACTGGGATTAGGGTGATGCCGGCATTTGACTGGATCCTTCCACCGGGATTCTTCTTAAAAAAGGAAATGAGGGAATGGGTGAGGGATTGGATGGAACTGCCTTATGTATCCCCATACGCGGATGCCTCAAACTTGGAACAATGGTCGAGAGAGATGGAGAAGAGAACAGTGGGAGTCTTCCACGAACTGCTTTCCCTATCTATTCACAAGAGAGTTTCGATTCCAGTTCTAGGGAAGTTCGGGGAGGAGTACAGGTTTTCAAATGCATTCCCCAACCTGTTCACGAGGCATTCGGGGCTGTTTTACGTGTCATTGAAGGGAGGGATCAAGACGGCTATGCTCAGGGAAGCTTACAAGGGTGATCAGCTGGTTGACCGGGACCCACTGCTTGAGATTAGGGATAAGTTTATTGAGCTACTGCTTGCTTGATGACTCAAGTGTGTCTTTGTTTTGGTTTTCAATGGATAGAGGTTATGTTGTGCATTCACTGCACAACAGGGATCTATACTGAGCTGTATTGCTAGCAACAACGCCTTCTCTTCTTGTTTGGTAGCCTAATTACTGACACTAGTTCTCTCACTTAGAAGAAAAAGAAATCAAAGAAGGGCCTTTGTTCGTTGTTGATTTCGTTCTTATGTAGCAGCTCAGAAGATATCCTTCTTCTGCCCCATCTCCTGATTTACGTGGTAGGATACTCAGAGGCTTGCCTCTGGGAATAAAAGAAAACATGCTGCTAAAAAGGGTATTTGTCCTTCATTTGTGACTGTTCAACATAATTATTGTCTATTCTTGATGTTGTTGAACACTTGAACTTATGGATAATTGTTGAAGGCATCTGAAAAAATGACATTAATATCACTCAGAATTTGTGTGACTACTAGGTATATTTGTTCAAACTATTGACATCACTGGTTGAAACTATGGTCCATAAACTTATTTTCCACCTTCCGTAAAACAAATGTGTTCTTATTATTCAAAACATTTTGTCTATGTAGAAAATAATGGTACTTGTGTTCATTTATATTGTGTGTCTGGTTAAAACACTGTTCTTGTGTTCGTTTATCTTTTTATGTGTGTAGAAAATAATTGTCTATGTGTTCATTTGTACTGTCTGTGCATGGTTAAAACATTGTATGTGTGTTCGTTTATATTGTCTTTGTGTTTTATATCGTCTGTGCATAGTCAAAACATCATCCGTGTGTTCATTTATTTTGTCTATGTGCAGAAAATAATTGTAATTTGTAAAATTAAGATTTTTTAATTGGTTTATAATGCTGGAGTGTATATTCAATGTTTGTAATTTGTAAAATTAAGATTTTTTATACTATTATGGCTTAAGTAAACATGTATTGTTTATTGGAATTCACCCACCTAATTTTGTATGTAGTTTATTGTCATAACCTAATTGTTTATGGCTTAAGAACTTTGCAACCAAAAAGTCAATGGGAAGCTCCGAAAAAAAAAGGATGACACTCCATCTTTGAGGGTCCAACCCCGATCGGACGGTACGTTGGGAGGATGTAAATTGGATTATAATCCCAATCGGATAGATAGAGAGTGAGACTTTGTCCCCGGTACTTGCAGAGGCCGTATGCATTTTGGCATAGTAACCTCTCATCGCAGTTGTCGGGATTCGAACCCGGGACCTAACCCTTGTGGCACTCCCTCGCTACCAGTTGAGCTACGCCCACCGGTAATGGAAAGCTCCGAAAAGAACACATGATGATGCATGACCAAAACCAGACAGATGACAGTTTTAACCAGACAATAAAATAAGATGACAGTTTTAACGGTGGTGTGTATTTAGGTTCGGGAATGTGTGTTGTTGTAGTAGTGCTTGCTGATTTTAAGTTCTTAACCACTGCCCACTTGGAATCAATAGCCCCTTTTGTTTGATAAAAAAAGGATGACACCCCATCCCCGAGGGTTCCCTAACACCAACTGGACAATTAAATAAGATGTAAGTTGGACTTTAATAACAAGTTGGTAGATAGAAAGTGAATCCTCACATTGACATATTTGCCTACTTTTTTCTTTTACTTTTAGCTCATCGTCTATTTAACTACATATTGGACAAATAACTGTTGTTTGCTATCTTCTAGTAATCTAGTGTATCTAATATTACTTTTATTTGCCCTCAATAAGTACTAGGCAATAAAAAACTAATCATAATCACGACTTTAACTCAAATCCCCTCAAAACAATGAACTATTTTAAGAAACATTAATAACAGGAGTGCAGAACATTAGCAACTTAGCAAGCAACTCTTACAAATGAGTTCAGAAGTAAATTAAAAAAAAACAAAAAATGATATAGAGATACATACTGTTATGCCAACTTTATTATCATGTTGATGACACTCAAAATAAACTTGAGTTCACATTGAGCTCTTCTTCTACATAATAATTTAAACAACTTGTTACAATATAATTCATGAAGCCCTCTGGATGAGGCAATAGTGCCAATCTCTTCATGATGAGCATGATGTTTTGTACCAGTCATAGAAATCAGCTTCACCTTAGCTTTCTTATGTGATTCATAACCAGATTTGCTTCTCTTCTGCAAAAATACATAAAAAAAGTGATTGTTCAAGTCCAAAAGGCGATTTGTCCATACCAGATTGTATGGTAAACCGTGATTTTGTGAGAAGGATCCAAACAACGGAAGTTAAAGAAGCTCTGAGGAAGATGGGACGGAAAAGAGCAATGGGGCCAGATGACATACCGATCGAGGCTTGGAGAAGTTTGGGAGAGAGAGGTGTCGAGTGGCTAACAAGTTTCTTCAACATGATTTGGAGAAACAACAAGATGTCAACGAGTTGGAGGAAGAGTACTCTTATCCCTTTATTTAAGAATAAAGGTGATGTACAAGAATGTGCCAACTATCGAGGGATTAAGCTTATGAGTCACACCATGAAACTTTGGGAGCGAGTGATTGAGCAAAAACTTCGAAGGACTGTGAAGATTTCAGAGAATCAATTCGGTTTTATGCCTGGTCGCTCAACAAGTGAGGCTATTCACCTTCTTCGTCAACTTATGGAGAAGTATAGAGATGCTCATAAGGATCTACATTTGGTGTTCATTGACTTAGAAAAGGCATATGATAGGGTACCTCGAGAAGTTCTTTGGTGGGCCTTAACTAGGAAAGGCATATCACACAATTATATCAGCATCATCATGGATATGTATGAGGATTGTACTACAAGTGTTCGTACTAGTGTAGGGAGGACTGAAGGGTTCCCTATTACTATCGGAGTGCACCAAGGATCGACCTTGAGTTCTTTCTTATTTGCCATAGTTATGGATGAACTTACGAAGTCAATTCAAGATGATATACCGTGGTGCATGATGTTTGCCGACGATATTGTATTGATTGATGAGACGCAATCAGGTCTTAAAGCAAAGTTGGAAGTATGACGACAAACATTGGAGAATAAGGGTTTCAAACTAAGTCGGAGCAAGACAGAGTACATGGAGTGCAAGTTTGGTGGAGGTAGAAGTAGTGGTAATAGCGAAATTACTCTGGATGGTAAGGAGATACCAGTCAGCGATATGTTCCGTTAGTTGGGCTCCATAATTCAGAAGGACGGTGAGTTAGAGGGAGATGTATCCCATAGAATCAGAACAGGGTGGATGAAGTGGAAGAGTGCGTCAGGATTTCTATGCGACCGAGGTATGCCGACTAGACTGAAGGGTAAATTTTATAGGACAACAATTAGGCCTGCATTACTGTATGACGTAGAGTGTTGGGCGGTGAAACAACGTCACATTCAAAAGATGAGTGTGACAGAGATGCGCATGCTGCGTTGGATGTGTGGGCATACTAGGAAGGACCGCATGAGGAATGAGACAATCAGACAAAGGGTGGGAGTAGCACCTATTGAAGACAAGATGCGGGAGTCGCGCCTACGGTGGTTTGGTCATGTGCGTAGAAGACTGAGTGATGCACCTGTTAGGCGAGTTGAGATGTGTGGAGAAGAGGCAGGGAAGAGAGGGAGAGGAAGACCCAAACAGACGTGGCTTAGGGGAGTTCGAAGTGATATGCTTCTTCTGGGGTTGGATGAGGGCATGACTTTGGAGAGAACTAAGTGGAGGGCGGGTATTCACGTGAAGGAGTGATCTTGATAATCTTTTTCCCTCATCTTTTTTTTTCCCTAGTTTTTTTATCCTTATATATATATATGCATTATTTGCAGCCTTTTTTATTTTATCATTTTTATATATATTCATCTTTTTTATATTATCTTTTCATAATAGCTTATCTTTTTATCTTTTTTCCTTCCTTTCCTTTTGGTTGTGATATCATGTATCGATTCATGTTAGCCGACCCCAATATCTTTTGGGACTAATGCTTGGATGTTGTTGTTGTTGTTGTATATGTTTGTATAGTATATGCCTAGGATCTATATACAATTAACCAGGGGCGGACCCACTAAGGGTCCCATGGGGTCCCGGGACCCCGCGTACTTCCAAAAAAATACCTATATATTTTATAAATTTTATTTAAAATTTACTTATAAATGTATATATAACACAAAAACAAGTATGAATTCCAAAGAATGGAGCAGAGCAACGGAGGAAAGCCTTTAAAAACCTTTATTTTTCGTGGAGGTGCAAGGATCGATTCCCTCTCACTCCTATTCCTCTTTTTTTGATTTATTATTGCAAACGATCACAACTACATCCTTTTGCCTTTTTTAAAAATCCTCAATTTTACACTTTACATAATTCAATTAATTATTAAAATTTCTATTATGATTTTCCATTATTAAGTGAAGAATTGAATAAAATAATTCGTGAATATGAAATTTATTTGACTGACAATACACATGATCAACATGTTTATTTTGAATCTTTAGAAGGTTATCCTGGTTTGAGAAAAAAATTTGTTGATTTGCATCATAATGTTCAAGATGAGTTGCGTCATAGTATGGACTATGAAACGTTGTACTACTTTAATATTTGGAATTTTATCAATTCAAAACTTGAAAGGTAAATGAATTATCAATTCGAGATCTGAAAGAAGATATTTATAGATATAAGACTCAAATGATGAAAATTGTCAATTTAGGACTTGAATGATTAAAGACTATCAATCTTGGACCTATATTGTCATGAATTTTATTATTTTTATGTTAAAATTTTTAAATATTATTTAGTTTTATTAAACTAATAAACTTTTGTGGAAAAAAGTTTATCAAAAACTAGCAAAGGAATTAATAAATAAATAAATAAATCAAAATCTATGAAATCTTAGATCCTAGATTGATAATTTTCATCTTTCGGGTCCTATATTAATACATTTCATCTTTCGGGTACCGAATTTATAATTTATCTATCTATAAGGTCCTGAATTGATAAAAGTTCTTAATATTTTGATGATGTACATTAACTATGAAATGTTATGCTACTTTAATATTATATAATTACATTTTTTAAAATTTTTTATTGGTTAGACTAACATTAAAGTAGGGACCCCGTGACTCCGATTTTCTGGGTCCGCCACTGCAATTAACACTAATATTATAAACTTGTATGCCTAAAACGTTACCTGATAGGTAAACTTTTACCGATTTAGTTTCCGGGCAGCTTCAAGATAATGGAGTGAAACTGGAGTGAATGAATAAAAGTAGGTGACGACTCTGGTAACTTTCTAAAAAATGGGCTACTGTACCTACCATTCATTTGATTGGACCATACCACTTTATCATTTTTAATTTAGATTTAAATAATTCAGCTGCTACATTCTCATTGGTCCATGTGGACAAATGTATGGTACCTTATGAGTACCATAGAATCTACCATAAAAGTATTGTATATTCAATTGCAAAAAGATGAAAGAATCCAGACAATTAATTATCACATTACACCTAAGGAATTGACTATTAACTATCACTGTAATTAAAAGCATGGAAAACGGAAGGAACAACAAGTACTGAAACTAAAAAAACCACACAACGGAGTAAGAATTGGGTTAATTGGGAAAAGAAGATGAGTGAACAATTAGTTAAGCTAATGGAATAACTTAATTGGTACCCTTACCT